GATTATCTCGTCTTATCAATTGAATTAATATTCCATAAGATTACCTAGAGGCGATCAGGTAAGCTGTTAACTATTTTGGTTTTGTCATTTTCAACTCATTTCTATGCGGTATCCATAAAAATAAAGTACAATGTCTTCTTCAGCTTTAGAAGCATTATATGAGATTTGGACTCAACCAATAGCTGGAGAGCCAGATTAATGTATATTTAGTCGAATTCATGTTGCAAGACAATTAAACCAAATACGATTTAATGAAGGTACGAGGAAAGTTGAAAAACTTAAAAAAATATCTGAAAAACATGCATGGTATTGTTAATATGGATCTGAACTATACTCGTCAAAGCGACAAATGAAGTCAATTCCTCGACAAACGTTATGACAAAAACGGTCGGTGCGGAGAACGACAAAACTCACTGATGATGCTGACTACGATGCCGGTGAAACATTTGAAAATGTACCAAGTCCACAGTCTGATGCTGGTAATCATGACTACTATGGCAGATGAGTTCGGACTAGGTGTGTTCTACTAAGTCTCCCTGACAACAAGATCAAGTTAAGACAACGAGGTCAACCCACTTCTATAAGTCGAAAGGAGACTGTGACCATACCAGAGGCCACAACATCTTGGTCTTCCTATCTTCAATTAGCTAGTCTTGCTAGTGTATACTTGGGCTATATATATATATATATATATATATATACTACAAAGGTCATTACATTTATTAATACAGGAATCTGATTCTTGATAACCGATGAGTGAAATATTTCAGTATCTGAGATGTATTTATCCAATTTCGTCTAGGGCGATAAGGGAACTGTTAGTTGGATTTTTTGACAATGATATGAACAGACCTGAGTTTTCCATTAAATTTCCCATAGCACTGCTTTTCCAAAAGATATTCTCAACCAGGTTAAAGGTAACTGAGTTTTCGACTTCACTTATGTCTCATCGGCACGTCCGGCGGGACTCGAACCAGGACAGCAAAGCGTATACTCTCGACACATTAACCATCGCCCCATATTATCTCGAGTGGACTTAGGTCACACGGAAAATGTCAATTTCAAGGTATGCCAGGCGTTTTCTCATATCACATTCTGCAGTGGAATTATCGATGAAGCAATGTTGTGTTTACTATAGCAATCAACTACGTTACTCATTTTTCGTTTATAAGTAGACTTTTGAGACTATAAGTAAATCATATATATGAGACGTGTTCATCCTAATTCGTTTAGAGTGATAAGGGAACTGGTAGTTGAAATCTCCCAAAATGAGGAGTGGACATAGCGTTTACATTGAATTTCCCATAGCCTTATTTTCATTAAAGTTATTATATTCTAGGATGAACTGCAGTTTTGACCTTTTGGGAAAGCAAAGCTATGTGAAATTCGATGGAAGCATCATGCCTACTCATAGCAATGTGGGAAGATTTGACTACCAATCACCATAGGATGAATATACCTCATATTTATGTTCTACTGGTAGTCTCGAAAGTCTACTTGTAAACGAAAAATAAATATTTCAGATTTTAATGCGTATATAAATTTAAAAATTGTATGTGTATATAATCCCGTTGATTGGCGGATGAGACCTATACGAGGTCGAACCTGCATTCAAAACGGAATGACAAACTCTCTTTAGAAGAGTAGCCATGCAAACTTCGATGACATCGTGAGACCTAATCATATAAACGTGGGAAAGTCTTCATCAGCAGTCATTAAATCACCTAATTCAGTGTAAGGCGATTAAGTTATTTTTAGATTATATATATTATGACTCTTTAATTATTTGTCCTACAAAAGCGATTTTAATTTCCCTTTACATTTGTTGAACTCGAATCCCATATACAATCAATCACTTCGTGGGGCAAATGGGGGAAGAGTCAAAGTGTATTCAACCTAGAATGTACTTATGTATGAGGTGATTAATGGACTACTTGTAATAAAGAATTTCCATAAGTGATATGATTAGGCTTCAAGGTTTCATTGAAGTTCACATGGCCCATCCTCCAAACATACTTTCTCATCCCTATTGGAATTCAGCTTCGACCTTGCGACGGTCTAATCAGCAGCCATAATGGTAAAGTAGCCTGGTCGTGAGCAGCATGGTACACGTTATCACTCTGCTACGTACAATGGCTACCGGTGCGTCCAAGAGCAACTGTGACTTTCAAGTTAAAGTGAGACTGTCGATGAAGCAACCAATTATTTGCCATTCTGATAGATGACATTAACTATATTCAGAATGAGTATGTGTAAAATCTATCAGTAATGTTTGAATAAAAAATTAATTGTTGAGTGATAGGGCTTGGCGAAAAGATTTAAAGAAGACGACTGTCGATTGGCTTTACTGGAACATTCTGGTTGACGCTGCGCCCGGGGCAATCTCCTTCGATTCAGGTGAAAATGTACTAAGTTTTCGTCGGTCGTATGACAAACATCCTCAGAGGAGGGTATCGTCTTTACAACCATATTCAAGCTAACAAGTCAAGAAAACTCACCGGATTATCCCTAAATGCTTTATATATACCATATATATAGGCTCTTTGATGGGGTTTAATGTGATTTGGTTAGTTCAAGCCATATGTCAACCTCGAAGCATGTGAGTCTGTCTGCCTATGTGTGTGTTTATGTGTCTTCATCTGGCGGACACGCGCATGGTTGAGTTGACGAGCTTTTTGTCTTTATCTGATGGGGAAAGAGCGGACAGAAAAGTACATAAAGTGGCCATAATTAGAATCAAGACCAGAAAGACTAGCTTAGTCGAGTCCTTTTTGCAGATGGCTAAACACCCTTTCTACTTTAAGCATATTAATTTTGCATAAGTACTTTCACTTAACTACTTGACGGTATTCTTTACCTTCAATAAATTGCCCAATCGATTTTGATGATCCCTCTAATTGTACATTTAGGCGCAGATATATCATAAATAGCAAAACGACAAGTTTGAGAGGATTCAATCTCATGTCAAGTTTTTGCCATTTGCTCTGCTCGCTCTGATTTTGCATCCAACAGCCACTAAAGACACTTTTGTGCTCAGCCATCCTTTGTCGAATGGGGCGACAAGTCCTTTCAACATAAAAGCGCCCACATGAACACATTATGTTCTAGCAATCTTATCCGAATAATCGGTCAACTTTGATATAGGCTATGCATACAGTAGTTAGGGCTGAGAAAATGAGTTTTCTTGACTTTATAGCTTGAATATGGTTGTAAGGATGAAACATTGCTCAGATGCCCGTTACACGATGGACGAAAACCTGGTAGGTTTTCATCGGCCTCGAAGGAGATTGCTACGGAAACAACGCCAAGAGCTTTTTGTCTTAATCTGAGAAGGAAAGAGTGGACATAAAAGTACAGAAAGTGGCCATGATTAGAGCCAAGACCAGAAAGACAACCGTTGTATTCTGGTGGGATTGATCTCCAAATATCTTCACCAAACGCTTCTTCTCTAACTGGAAGTAAGATTAGCAATTATGAACGAAGAGATTCCCCGAAACCCAACTTTTCTCCAGATATAATAAGAATGACTGATTGTTTCGAGGCCCATTCATAGCTTATTCATCCTGCCTACCATCAAGGACTAGAAGACACTGGAAATAAAGCCAGAATTAAATGTTGTTCTGAAAACTATGCTATGCCATATATTCTATTTATCCGCTTACATTCGGTGTTGACTGCATCTTTACATCCGATTGAGTGCTAATCGACTATCTTCCCAGGGGAGTGACTTGCCATATAGCTAAGTGAGTGGGTATGGCAACAGGTTTCACAGAAAAAATATACTTTATCCATCCCAGATTTGATTATTTATCCTTCTCCTATTCTTAAGGTAAGCTCACAAGGACCAAGTCTAAGGTAGACCTTTGTTTCAGGGCCTGCTTTACTGCATTCGCCTCTGATAATGTCCAAGAGTTTACGCGCATACATTGGCTACATGAAACCAACTCCATCTTTCCATGCCTCAGTAGACCCAAATGCTTAATTAAGATGTACAGATAATTTTGCTACCTATTCACTCAGTCAATTTGAGCCAAACAGTCAATGAAACTAATGGTGTCTCTTTGGTCATAAATCTATTTAAAGTCCGTCTGATCGGCAAACACTGTCATTAGCTTCCAATGCCTACCAGCTCGCCTATCTGCAATGCGATATCAGACTGAGACCGCCATGAGGTGGGCCACGCCCACCGTCTCTTTCGTGTGACCTGCGTGCTCATCCGCAAGAGCCCGACAGCGGAGTCACTGTGCATCAAAGACCTGTCCAAGACCGCCCTTTTTCCCATCACAAAGTCGTCCCTGTGAAAGACGCAAGCCACCACTTTGCATTGGATTCATGCTGTCAGCGGTTGGAGGAGAGATTCCGTGGGAAATCTGTATGCGCTGAGCTCCACCGCCATTGTTGCCCGGCCTCATCATCATCGCCGAGTTCGTTGTTAAGGCCGTGATGAC